TTCCTTACCATTTGGTAAATTTTCCAGTTTCCAGCCTCTCATCAACCGAAAACAACAAGAAATTGAATTGCAAATGGTAAGCACCATCTTGTTCGGTTGGTTTGCTGATTTTGGAAAAACCCTTACCATTAATTCAACGGTCATCCCAACCAGTTCATTCTGACAAATGGTCAACACCCCCTGTATTAAGTGGACATTAGTAAGTGTCCCAAGGGTGTCTGATTAATACAGGTCTCACTGTATGACATTTAAAGCAAAAAATAATTTGTGTTTCAAAACTTTGTTTTTTACATGAGTTTTAGTTTCACTGTGAAATGAACATTTGTGAACACTTTTAGGCAACCAAATTTTTCCATCTGATCACTGAAGAAATGTTCAGTTGCCATTTGGTGCCTGTCAAAACACTAAATGTTTGCCAATCCAATTTGTTTTTAACCCCTTGAGTGCCTGACCACTACGTATGCTGTGTGCCACACCATTTTTCTAGTAAGAACCTTCTCATGCCATAAGCTTTTTCATTTGAACTACGAACATGTGCACATTTTCTGAAAGGTCATAAATGTGTCTCTTCAATGCAGTTAATTTCACCACGGTTGACGTAAATTTGATATCCATATGATGTCAAAGTCGTATGGATATTTGGATATGTCAAAAAACCTCAATGAGCTGTGACATTTGGAAAAAAGTTCTGTATGGCACGGACTGACAGTCAAGGTTTTCAAAACACTTGATGATTGGCAGTCTGAATTTTTTAAATTCTTGTAAATCAAAAGAACTTGGCTGTGGTTCATACAAGTTTGATGACCTTTTATTCAAGGACTTTTCCAGGACTTTTCAAGGACTTTTCACAATGTTCAAGGAGTCCGTTTCCACAGGCACAATTATCACATTTCTCCCCAGTCACTCCAAAAAAGCTGAATTTCCATTTCCACATGATACAAAACCGAATGAGGATAATATCACTGGCTGTTCACCTCCAATTCTACTGTTGTTTTTGTGCCTTTCACTTTTCATGTGCAATTTCAATGCAGACTCTCCCAAGTTTGAAATGTTGATCATTCGATCACAGCATTTGCAGAAGGCCTTTTTCCTGTCAGCTTTAAACGCAGTCAACCAGCCAGGTGTCTGGAAAACCCGAATAGCGAATATTCCTGAATAGTGCAAATAGTCTCAAATAGTGCGAATAGTGGCGAACAGTCCCGAAAAGTGACAAATAGTGGTCAATAGTCACTGCTTTGGACCTAATGTCCTGTGTTAATTAATTATCCAAATAAGCAACAGAATTTCAGTGAATTTATTACCTTTTCTTCTCCAGACTCAGGCTAGGGCTGTCCATCACTGACATTAAGAAAACAGAAAACACAAGGATGACCTAATAAAGACGAATTAACGCTTTTGCAGCAGTTAAAACAGAAGTAATTACATTCAGAAACTCTTTTTGTCCTGATAAGCGTCTGTGCTTTTTAGCGAGAAAATCCCATCCTACATTGCTGTGAGGTTGACTGCGAGATACTGGGTAACCTATTTGCCACTATTTGCCACTATTCGAGACTGCTCCACACTATTCGCACTAATCGAGACTTCATACTATTCGCTATTCGGGACTATTCGCTGTTCACGACTATTCACTATTCTGGTTTTCCAGACACCCCAACCAACCTTTGTACTTGGAATTAAGTTCCCACTGTCGATTATAAAAGCGGTTTCCTCTTTGACCTTTTGAATTCATTGAAGACACAATAAACAGGACTAGAGTCAAATAAATTTCACACTTCAAGCTACATTTCCCTGGTGGTTTTATTTGCTTAGACGGGGCCTACACAATACACCTGGGAAACCCCATTGAAGGTGCAGTTACTTATATGCTTTGAATGAGAAACACTGAATTGTCCTGCTATTAAAGGCTTCGCCATTTTGAGACAATAACTGAGTTTCTCAACTGATGTTAGATGTTATACGCAATCTTTTTAATCTTTTGATGTCAAAACGAACTTATTTTGCTGTATTCTCAAGTATTCGAGGCTTTTTCATAAAATTCAAGCACTGCTTCTTCAACTTCAAGGAGTTTTCAAGGAGAAAATCATTTTCAAGGAGTTTTCAAGGACCTAGCAGTTTTTCAAGGAGTATTCCAGGCATGTGCCAACCATGTTGGCCAATCCAAGCAGTGATACCATATGTCGATTAAGAATCTGACATAAACTGACATCAAAGTTTTCAGAAACCTTTCATATGATATAATATTTCTTATGCATGAGAAAGAAACATGAAAAGTTTGTGAAAATCATGTGAAAAACATATGAAAATTGCCCTAGTTTTATTGCTTTGTCACTTTGTTTTCATTTATTTACTTCCAGTAGTGAAAGTTGGGAAGTTAGTCATTTTACCAGATATGACTCACACTCCTGGCCATGTTTAACCCCTTCACTGCTACAAGGACGTACTGAGTCTGTCTCAGATTACACACATGCTACAAGGACGTACTCAGTACGTCCTAAAGTATCGCATTTACAAGTATGAAAACTTAAGCACACTGTGAAAACAATGAAACCGCATATAATTAAACATATAAGGGCCTGGTAACAAAGAATACATTTGGTGAGAAATGTATGATGTTTGAATCTTCACTTTGTGCCACACATTATTTGTCATATCAAGTCAATGCCAGCCGCCATCTTGGTTGTGCCACAAGTATCTTTTCGAGTGTCTAGCAAGAGTTCTCTTGCTAGTTATGAGTAGATTTACAGTCAATGATGTCCTGGAAAGCATCAGGGATGTTTCTGACGACAAAGTAGATATTTCTGACTTGGAAGATGGTGGTGACGATGACTACATGTCTGAGATTATTAACTGACATTTTTCATCAACAAAATGTACAAATAATGTAAAGAATGGTTAGTTTCCTTCAAACAATTGATTTCTGAAACTCAGGCATTTTTATAGGCTTGATTACCAGCTGCTGTTCAGGAGAGGAGCCCGCACTCCTCCCCCGAACTCACGGCTGGACTCGTGGACTTGGCATTGTTAATTTCAACCAATAAGAAATCTGCCTGCCAGAATCGAGCAGGCTGCATAAATTAGCTTTCTCGCAGTAGCAAAGAAGTCGTGCAATATGAAGTACCATCACATTAGTGGGACATTTAACCAAATACCATCAACTGATGAAATCTTGCCTGATCTAAACCATAGTAGCCTGTGTTGCAGCCAGACGTGTCATAAAATCCCTGATATAGTCCGGCAGTTTAGACTGTCTACGACACAGGCTAAAGCATAGTGGCATATACAACACGGAAAATAGTCAGCAGACTTATGCGTTAGAATCTATATTTGAATTATGTGGTGCCAGAATGTCAGATAACGAACAAAGAGAGGGATAAATGCAAACATTGATCTCAAGAAACAAAGCACTCAGTCAAAGTGATGCGTACGATAGTCTTCTTGACGGGAAGTGACACCAGTCTCTGGCGAAGCCAGTCCAAAATAAATTTTTAAATGAGCCAAAGCAATCCGAACTAGCAAAACATAAACATGGTGTCAACACCACACATGTACACACCATACGACTTATGTGTGACCTTTGACATGACAGTTGCTACACCATAGTCAAACAGCTCTGCTCTACTTTTTTTAAAAAAAAGTCTTCTATATAACACAGCATGTAACTGCATGTATTCCGCAACAATGTGAAACAAAAAAGGTCAGAAGGCCAAAATTAAAAGAGGAAGTGGCGAAAATACCACAAATTTTACAAGCCATAGGCGTCATGTGGGCCTGCCTATGATTGTCATCAGATGACATTTCCGGCCACCTGAAGCGCCACATTAATTTAATTATGAATTTACGTCTCAGACATGCTTTGCCACTCACGCATCCAGCCATCTCTTCTCAGGGAACGTAGACCGGACTTGAGAAAGAGGCGGAAATCGAACCTAGCATTTTTAAAAACACATTATTATATGGCCTGTGATTGTAACAGATGTAATGTGCGCTCTGATTGCAGGGCATTACAATTTTTCCCGTAATGCCCACACAAAAACAAATCAAAAAAACAAATCAAAAAAACAAATCAAAAAAACATATAATAAACAACTTATTCACCTCAAATGTTCGGTCTTTACAGGAAAATCTCAAACCTTGGCCTTGCCGTATTGACTGAGCGATATATAGCAAGTTCAATGTGGCAAGGTATAAAGACCGAATGTTCGAGGTTAATAAGAAGTCAATAATTTAATTTAAAAAATCGAGAAAATCCCATTTTAGGCCCGCAAAGGGGTGAAAACATGACCCGCAGCGAATGGGTTAACTTAAGCTAAAAACAAACATCTCAGGTGCTCTTTCCAACCACTTCGATAGATTTTCGTGATACAGGCAATATAGGAATAAATAGGCTTACTAAAGTAAACGTAACAACGAAGACAGCAATTCGTAATTTAGAGGGAAAAAAGTTATGCTCACGTACGCCGACTTATCAACGACTACACACTACAGTATCTCCTTAACTGTTGTTGTGCCAGACGGCAAAGACCACGGTCAGTTTAACAACAGAAGGTAAACCGAGGCACTCACCTTAGCCATTTGCTTTCATTTTCGCTGTTTATAGTCATCATAAACACCCTAAATAAGCTTACCAAGAAAAAGAATTTAACCATGGACGTGCATTGCCACGCTGATTGCCTCGGTGGTAAACTTTTTTTCTGGCTACGGGCCTGGGGTCCGTTTCTCGAAAACCCCGAAACTTTTCAGGCCCGCAAAGCCATTTTTAATTAATATCTAACAACAGAGAGGTGTATTCGCCTGAAACTTCTTGTATGAAGAAACCCTCTGTTCAATTTAAGAATATGTGATTAAACAGCTCTTCAATCATGTGGTTTGAGATTTTGCTGCGGCTTACCGGGTGCGAAAACATTTCGGGACCTTCGAGAAACGGACCTGAAAAGGCTTTCTTAAATGGATAGGAGATCGATTCAACTCGTTGAGGATACAGCTATGGAGAACACCCTTACCAGAATTAGAAACTTCAGAGAAAGACGATCAAATCGCTCTTTGTAGTTCTTCTGGCTACAGGAAAAGTCCAACCTTATCGGCAACCACGTAAAACGTTTGTGTTCCCGAGACAGACACGACAGGACAGCGGGTATTAGTATTGAGCTCACTGCACCAATCAAAAAGAACATTATATAAGGGAGCTTATGGGTAGTCAATTGTATTGATAAGAAACATACTTTGATTGGTCCATTGTTATTTGCGGAAACTTGAGAAACACGAGAGCAGGAGAGCACGTGAACCCTGACACGTCTTGAGCAATCTCGTTCCCAGGGTCCTCTCTAGATACCAAGCAAATCAAAGTTGCCCCTAGGAGCTCTAGCCTAGCCATTCAACTTGGAAAATGGACCGGTTGTAAACAGGGACAATTTTGATGCCACTGAACTGACTTTTTAATGCCATACATCATTTATATGTCGAGCCAGTAACATAAACAAGACGAGTTTGATTGTTCAAAACCCCAAACCAGGAGCCATAATCGATTACGGCTCCTGTCAAAACCAAGTTATGGTTTATTACAAATATACAGGAAGATTGTTATTATATGTTGGCTCTATTTCAGAGTCATAGTCATGTAGTTGGATCAAAACAAGTGGACTGCTTTTAGATCAAAGCAGAAGCATTTAAACTCTCAGGCATCTGATCAAAGTTAATTGGATGTATAAACAAGCACCTAGACTTTCTCAAAGCCCGTTTCTGCTAGATTAGATAATTAGGTGGTCCGGCGGGAAACTAGCCTGCAGAACAGGCGTAATTTTTTTGCGTATTTTAGGCGAACAGAGGCGAAAGCGAGGCGAGCGCGAAGTACGAGTCGCGTGCGAGGGAAAGAGCGCGAAAAAAATAACGCCTGTACGTATACCATTGTTCAAGGGCTGTTCCCAAGGGCTGTTCCAAAAACGCGGAGTGCGAAGTGCGGAGTGCGGAGT